TACACAGAATCGAAATATCAAGACATAAAAAGGTTTTGATAATAATTGAAAAGTTATGACAAGAAACGTTAAAGAATAATTTGTGAAAAAAGTGCAAAAATCAGTTTTTTTAAATAATATCTTTATGATAAAAAGAGATACAAATAAAAATAATATTGTTTACAAATAAAAATAGTATTGTTTTAATAAAAAGAGGAAAATGTGAACTGTAAGAAAAAAAAATTATATTGACTTATTCCAAAAAGTGTGATTATTTGCACAAGTAAAGTGGAGGTATTTTTATACATGTTTGGCAAAATGATATCAATATTTTCACGATTAAAAAAAAAATATTTCGAATATATATTAAATATATAATAATTTTTCTCGACATTATTTATGATTTTATAGCTCCGAGAAAATAAATCGATCATTTCGACAAGACGTCTCTCCCGTAAAAATGCTGTCTTTGAAAACAAATGTTTTAAATATATAAAATAGAAACCGACCGAGTTAATATACTCGTAACAACATAATATTATATAATAGAGAGCGTCTTTAAAATCAAAGTTGGAAGTTTCGAATAATACAATATTCTTGGTTTATGCATTTAATTAATCTTAAATGTGACTGTGCGCCGAAACGGACATTAAAACACAATCAATCTGAGATGCTAATAATCGCGAAACATTCGGACAATTGCGAGTATATATAATCCCCCCTTTATTTCAAATAAGAAACTGTATCTGAACGTTTCGGCGCACAGTCACATTTGAGATTAATTAAATTCATGAATCAAGAATATTATATTATTCGAAACTTTTAACTTTGACCGATCCTAAAAGCTCTCTCTATTATATTATAATACGAGTATGTTTTAAATATATGTTTTAATTGTAAGCATTAAATATATGTTTGAATTGTAAGCACACATATACCTGAATATAACACCAATAAACAGTCACTTACGAAAAACGAATTTTTACTTTTGGCAAAAACTTGAAGTAACATTTGATAGGTTCCAATCATTCAAGTCAAACTTTTATTGCATCAAAATCTCAGCATTAAAATGACAACTAAACAGTTGCATTGTGACTATCGACAAAGGAAGGTTCCAAGTTTTTTACTCGCCCACTTTAACTATGCAATATTAACCATACAAAATAGAGGCCAACTAAAATTTTCACCAGGATTTAAATGACCCACTCATGTTATAATTGAGGGTCAAATGCAACTATTTTTTAAATACTGTGAAAAATATACTAAGGACCAAATGAGAAAATCCAAACATTTATATATACATTTACATGAAGATTTATTTATATAATAGATAACTTGCACGAAGACCTTGCATTTGGCTTTTATGCTCCTGTTTTTTATTCTAACTATTGTCATTTATACTGCTTATGTCACTTACTACTATAGTCACATTAAAATTGCAAGACCTTGGATTATGTGTCACGAAACAATATTTACGACCGACGCTCATTAAAAATAAGATATCATCAAAATCAGAATAAAATAACAAAAATTATAACATGTCTGAGGTTTACTGAAAAAAAAAGGAAAAATATCAACTTTATGAAAGTCATCTTTTGATACGATTTTCTAAAGACTTGTTGAAATTATTAAAATAATTAAACACGCAATATATAATATATTATATATAACGAAATATATATAAGAAACATTTTTGAAGGATATTATTGCTGTATAAATACAATATGTATATATATATATATATATATATATATATATATATAT